CTGCGCAATTGACGCAATCGCTAACCATGGCTACAGTAAACCTGTTGAGGTCCGCTTGGAATAAATGGGGATACCCTGGCTTGAGACTTTAATGGCACAAGGTGCTCCTGCTCCGAGAGTGCACGCAACACCGCTCACTAAAGAAACCTGCTGCAGCGCTTGACTCATCCAGTAACCGCTTGCGCCAAAGCTCAAATTCACAGATTCGACGAGTGGCGCAAGCAAGCAAGATGGACTCATGGTGACGGTCAATAGAAGTGCAGTAGAGAAAGCAAAACCCAAGACATGCAAGGCTGACCACTGACTTGTCGAACTCATCGCGTCTTTGGTGGTTCTTGTTCTCTTTCTTGAGAGGCTTTCGCAGTGGTTGCTTTACGGCCAAATGAACAACTCTGAGAATGTCACTGAATACCCCCACTCCCCGCGCACAATTGCAGCAAGCTATTGGGGATGGTAATACCACCTTAGGGTCTTCAATCGGCGGACGCTGGTCTTTTCATGGGAAGTAGTGGTGATTATTGGGGGAGGCGTGTTGGGAGTATAGGAATAACTGAATAACTCACTGATTCATGGGTAGGCTAGTGGAAGGCTTGGCGCTTTCTCACCCAAAACGGGCAAACTTACGCTGACTATACAACCCCTACATAACCCTATAGCTTCCATTTCGTTTTCCGTTTGCTTCTCCATTATCGTGGCAATAGTTTTATGTCACCCCCCTAAAGCTGCGGAAACCCCAAAACCCTAAGTAAGAGTGACTTTCATCTTCTTTTTTAGTTCGTTGCCCCATCTACCCGAATAGTTAAACCTTTTGCAGGTCATTAGGCGTAGGGCGTAGGGATTACTCCGCAAGCCCCAAGAGACCCACATATTGAGGCTGAGGGTTTTCAGGCTTGTGAGCTTGTGGCTTGTCTTGCCCCCACACCTTCCTTAGTACCAAATACTCAAATATTCCCCCTAACATACAACAGTCCTATCTTGGGGGTATGTGCTATTGGGAGGTAGGACTTTGTAGCGGAGGGGCTGCTGTCCCCCATGCACCAGGGTGTGAGCCTCCTGCCATCTCCTAAAGCTAGACTTTTTTGCTTCTCCAACATCCGTTGGTCTCACAGTGTGGCCTAGCTGTGCTCCCGGCTGCCATTTTGGATGCCAGTCAGCAAATGCCGGGCTCACGTATTCTTAGAATTCCAAAATGTTCAAACCAAAAAAACCCTCATGTTCCAACGCACGCGAAAATCAGAGCGTCCCAGCCCAAACCGCGAAACGCCCATGTTCTAGCACATACGAAATCCAGAGCATCCATGTGCAAACCAGAATAATGCCCATGTTCTATCGCATACGAAACCCAGAGCATCCATGCCCAAACCATAACCAATAACGCCCATGCTCTAGCGGATACGGAAACCAGGGCATCCATGCCCAAACCATGATAACGCCCATGCTCTAGCCCATACCAAAACCAGCATCCATGCCCAAACCATTATAACGTCCATGTTGCATTTATCAGCTGACATCTTCAAGTTCTGCTTGTTTCTATGTTGTCCTTCTTTGTGTCAGCAAAATAGCACTGAAACCACAGTCATAAGCACATTCCTGAACATAAGAGCTCCTTTCCTAATTCCCCGTTGGTAAACAAACCTTGCCCACAACTTGGAAATCTGTCCGAAATGCAACCGAAAACAACCTGAAACCACCAGCCCTTATGTGCCTGTGACCAACTAAAAGGCAAACAAAAAAACCCAATCTTACCCGTGTCTACACAACTTTCTCAGACAAAGGCACGGCAAGGAGATCATATCGCCAGCCTTCTGGCTTCAAAAAGAGCGGTGCGGACGTGAATGTTGTTGGTGTTCAAGGCTTGGGGTACGTGCGGGGTGAGTTCTGCAATTTTCAGAGCAGGCGATTGAAGTGTCAAGTGCGTACTGGGCGCATCGAGCCCTCTCGCGAGGAATCTGCATGCAGCAAGGACTGACATTCGAAACAAGGCTACTGCCAAATGATCCCAATCTAGGTTTATGACGCTTGGCTAGTAAGTGGTGCGGTTTCTTAGTGTGCATAAATTAAAGTAGACTCCTCTAGCAGAAGCCCAGCAATCTCAAAGCCCACCGTGTTAGGCTTGTGATCAAAACCCAACTGCCGATTCCTTCCACGCTGCAGCCCCCCGATTCCCTTCCACTTACTGGCTGTTAGCACGCAGGGAGAGGAGGAATGGATCCCTACATACTGGGCATGGAAATCTTATGGTAGCTATCTTATTTTCCGCTTCTTTGGTCCATTCCTGCATTCCCTACTAACAGCAACCCTAAGTCCTAAAACCTAAACCTTTTTCCTGAGGTGCTCAACTCTGACCTCTGAAGCCTAAACTCTAAATCTATTTCCCCTAAACAGTAAGCCCTAAATCTTTGCAAATCTATCCCAAGCCGCGTCCATCAGCGCCCTGATTTCGGAGGGCTGAGCCGTGGCGAACGCGTGGCGGAGCGATGCTTCGAGCCGGGCCTTGCATCATTAGCTGGCTGGTTGTTTGAGGATTTAAGGATTTAGGGTTGAGGGCTTTAGGGTTTAGGGATTTAGGGTTCAGGGATCTAGAATTTAGGACTTAGGGAGTTAGGGGTTAGGGATTTAGGGTTGAGGGCTTTAGGGTTTAGGGATTTAGGGTTCAGGGATCTAGAATTTAGGACTTAGGGATTTAGGGTTGAGGGCTTTAGGGCTTAGGGATTTAGACTTTAGGGGTTAGGGATTTAGGGTTGAGTGATTTAGGGTTTAAGGATTTAGGGTTGAAGGATTTAGGGATTTAGGGTTTAGGGATTAGGGCTTTGCGTTTAGGAGTTTGTAGGGGATAGAAAGTCACATGGAGAATGAAACGGGTCTTTTGGGGCTAAAGGGATGTATGCTCTTTAGGTGTGAAGTTAACGCTATTCCTTAGGATCCCCCCCCCACCCTGTAATAGTGGTATAATCGGAATATAAGAGGACCCTATCATAATCACCATTATCCCTTACAGCCACTACTGCTAGGTGGGGGAACAACCAGCATAGAATTTCATGGATGCTAGGTTACTGTAATCCCCGTAGACCTTCAACAGAAATGTCCTTTAATTTCTTTAATGCTCACTAATTCCCAAGGGTTCTACTATAATGAAAAATCAAGGTCAGCCGTCTGAACAAAGACCCATCACATGAAAAGTCTCCTAGTAGCCACTCTGCCACGCATGCAAATAGCACCGCCTGGCCTAACGGCCTAACCCCGATACAACCCCCAATATACCATATAGTAGTTTCCATGTTATTTCCACTATCCCTACCTAACCCTCACATTACCCCAACGGATAAGCCCAAAATGTTCGGCCTTCTCCGCCTCAGGTAGGAAGGTAAGCAGACGCTCCACGCACGCTTCCTTGAAGCCCAACACAGAAGGAGCATACAGAAAATCTTGCCAGGAATGGATATCCTGGAGGTTGCTGGGCTCTAGACAATGATCCCGCTCGGAGAACTAAAGGCATGACTATTGCTCTGGCTCAGGTCGCTGTGAAGCATGAAAAATTCTGGCCACTAGTCCAGTGGTCAATTTCCCTCAGGCCTCCAGGTGCCTAGCAAATGCCCTTCATCAATCAAACAAAGCTACGATACCTCATCCACCCCAATTCTGGAAGAGCACACTTCGTGCAAACCTTTATGGCCCCCATTCAAGGCATGAATGGCTTCTGGCTCAGAACTATGTGCAGATCCCAGATGCCAGCTCGGCATCGTTACCCCCAGGGGACGCCTTCGGCAAGAAAGCTACGTGAGGCCATGCGTGGTCTTTCAAGGTCAAGGTCTCTCACACAAAGTTCAGGTTTACATGCACATCATGAGGGTTTGCATAAGGCTGGCATCAGGATTGGCAGAAGGATACGTGCCCCTGAAGCGACCCTGGCTACAAAGATGAGAAAACACCACGATATCGAACTAGCGCGGCTGGATTTGTCCCTTACGATACCCACCCATGTCCGCTTGATGGCTTGTGTGGTTGGCGCAATGAGGACTCACTGGCGGAGACCAGCTATGACAAACGACAAGCATTTCGTTCGCCGTCTTGGCGCTGCCAAGCCCACCTCCAGATTCACTGACATCCCAAGACAAACGCCTCCCAATTATTCACCCACTTGCCATCTGCATGTCGATGGATGGGCAAACAATTCACCTGCTTGATCGGCCAAGTGCAAGCACCAATCTGCAACAAAATACGCGGCAACGGCCTGATTGGGGCATCCTTCCAAGCCGCGTGCACCAGACACGATTAGGTTGCTGGCCCGAAATGCTGGCATGACTACAGCGGCAACCCTGCACGCAAGGCTCGATTTCGAAGAATTACTCAACATGCAGCACTTGCTGCCGTGTGCTTTTTTTCCTTGAGACCCTGTACTGAAGCATCACCCCAAAACACCTCTTCCATGTATGACATAAAATCTATGGTCTGTTGATTTCTCTATTGGGTTCGACAATCCTCTAAGTAATGATGCTTATATTCAAGCAGTTCCTGTGTCGAGCATGCGTACATGTACAACAAATGGTCCCAACTTTAGACTCTTCACTCTGGAAACTCCGATTTATTTCAGAGTGTACAATTGGATGACCCCTCTGTGGATCCACTAGGCTCTTTTTGTGAGGATGGGGTGCTGGAAAGGCTAAACAGATGTAAGTACTAACATAAATCTGTAAGTCTGCCTAGGTCTTACAAACTGGGATGTCTAAACACTCAAGACAAGTTTGAAGCAGGTTGTCATGTTAGATGGTGAAAACTCGGCGATGTTGCACAGGCCCTTTTACTTTCTGCGTCCATGCAACAAGGATCAAACCTGTGAGCGTGACGCAGCCTCTGTACAGGGCTCCATGGCAAGACTCTCCATTTAAGAACCAGCGCGGAAATTGATAAAATGCAGGACCCAGGTTAATGCATCGTAAGCGATGGAGCAGGAGTCTCTGCCCCGAGAAGGTAATGAAATGGGAGCAGTTTTGAACCAGCTCCTAGCTCCAAAACTTTACGGTCTTGTCGAACGATCCCGTCACAAGCATCTCGGAGTAGGGATGCCGGTGAAAGCAGCCTAGGCGAGTGGTTGTTGGTCGGCTCAATGTTGCTGAGCCCAAGATGGTGACCCCCCACTTGATAGGGCGTGGGCTGCGTGTTGCTACTGATGTTGGCTCCAGTTCAGCTGCGGTCGCGACCGAAACTCTTTGCCAGCACTGCTGCTTTGCATACGGGGTTCCGCTTCCATTGAAACGCCCGTGTTAGTAATATGATGACGACAGCAGCAGCAGCAGCGGCAGCGGCAGCGGCAGCGGCAGCAGCAGCAGCAGCAGCAGTGTCTGGTCGCAATATGCTGGTAACTTCCCTTACAAACGTAACAGCTGAAAGTCAAAAAGAAATAGAAGCCGAAACAGAGGAGCATCAAAAAAGAACAGCAACTAGCTGCAGCCCAGCCGCGCACGGCCTTCTCATGACAAGGCAGCTGGAGAACCATCTGGCCACTCCGCACCTGGCGGATTCTGTACCAGGGTGGTTGGGGTTTCCGCCTGGCTTGTTGCGGCATGCAGGGAAATAGAGTTTTCGGTTTCAGGGTTTATGGTAGTTGGGCAAATTACGGTTCAGGATTTGGGGTCTGAAGCCTTCAAACGTTGAGATATACGCTGGGGGGTCTTCGGCAGCCGTGGGATCCATGTAAGAATTGAAATGAACTCTCTGACCCATCATGTAAGCGTTCTAGAAGACGCTGCCACATCCCCACCTGCGCCCATCACACCTTCATGACTACTATTCCTGCTATCATCACCAGTATTATTGATATTACTATGATAACTACTATCATTGTCCATTCTCTTGCTATAATCACTGTTGTTCTTCCTTTTAGCATGACGCACCTCGAAAACGGCCAGTTGCCCGCACAGCGCCTTGACCTGCGCGCACGGCACACATTTGATGGGTTTAGGGATTATAGAGGGGTCCAAATAATACAATAATGGGAATCAAAGGGAAAATGAAACCGAAACTGGGGTTATGTAGGGAATTTAGGGTTTAGGGGAAAGACACATTCATCTCCACTGGGTCTTGCGATCGTAAGACATGCTGGTATCAATGTCGCTTAAGGGTGAAAGGGCACGGACTAGAAAACTCCAGGAATCTGAATACATGCTGGAAATCTCTGAGAAATACATCGTCGTAGAGTTCAGATTGCTGAATATCCCATTGGTCCAAATGCAGGTCAATTCAGGACAGGCCAAAACTCCCCTCAAAGGCATCCAATCGTTAGCGGCCTGAATGTGGTCACTTGCCTCGAAGCCCTCGAAAGGCCAAGAAACAAACTGACTGGTCAAGCGAGGACCTACCTCAAGTCCCAAAACCTAAATCCTAAACAACAGTTTTCGGAAGAGCTAAGCCTAGCCCGAAGTCTACACTCCTAAACCCTGAACCCACCTGAGCCTTCAAACCATAAGCCTGAACGCCAAGCCTCATGCAGGCGGCGAGTACCTCTAGCATCCTCGAGCCTTGTATTCCTAAGTAATTCACGCATCCACACGCAAGCCCTGCCCCACCAAAAAAAGGCATGACAAATCCCCTACATGCCCATTTCATAATCCCACTCCTTGTCCCTCTGCCCTGAAGAAGCCCTGGATAAAAGCCTCGTTTTCCTCCTGGCGGGCGGGCTGTGGCAGCGAAGACGACACATACAAGAAGCAGCCTCATACGATCACTGGCACTTAGGGAGGACATGTAAGTACTAGCATAGGGGGAGTTGACAGCTGTGTCCGGTCTTCATATTCCAGGACCCTAAAATGTTGAGTCTACATGGCGGGACTTTGGTTTGGCCTTGTCACCAACCTGCACATCGGTTCCTTTGAGAACTAAGAACCAAGGCATGTTCGGAGACCCCTGCCAGCACCCAGCATGGTTTACTTGGTGTGGATAACTTTGGTAGTCAGTTACTGCATCAGGGACTAAATCCCTGTAGAACCCCGATGCGAAATATTCAATTGTTCCCTCCTCACCCCCTGTGAGAGAAATGTCATGCAAGACTCCAAATGACCATGTAATTCTCAACTGCAACGACTTTATGGTGCCAAGCAGCCATCCAGCGAGAATGCCACACTTGGCATGTCGTATTCCTCGCCGCAACATGCTCTGATGCGGATCATCAGATTAACAGGCAAAGATGACCATAGGAATTTCCGAACTAAGACTCCAAACCATTTGGGGAACTTGTTTTCCGACAATAGCCTTGCCCTCGTTGCGCTAACCGCACTTTACGCCTCACCTGTTCAATACCCTTGAGCTTGGCAGAAGGACATCTCTTTTCACAGCTTGGTTACGAAAACACTTATTCAAGGGACAGCTGTCGTCTCCTTAGATCCCATCGGTTCACGTATACGGAACCATACGGCAACAATTGAATGGACGGGTCCGAACTAGGCGTGCCAAGCTGGAACCTGCTGGCATCCTTGCAGGACAGATCTAATTTCACAAAATCCTGTATCCTTCGAAGCCCTCCAATATCCCCCTAACCCCTGAACCAAACCCCAATACTTATTGGTGGCTAGGGAATAAGGGAATATAATCTGTGCTTGAGATATTCCCTTATTCTCTACTGACCCCCTCAACCCAATACACTCAATGCAATCTCTTCGGTCCCCCACTGCAGCCCCGTAGAAGTTCCGCAGTTGCCGCGCAGATCGGGCTTGCAGGAGGATGACCTCAGGGTTTGGGTCTAGAATTACAGGTTTATAGCCCCCCTTAAGTAGATAGAATATGGGGTATATGGGGATCTTATTACAATATACATTCTATCTATTTACGGGACTATAGGGTGTAGGTTTGGAGTTCAGCGTAAGGGTACAAGTTTATGGTCAAGTTTTCAGTTATTTAAGGTTTGTGGCTCAAGGTTGGGGATTTGGTAGGCTTAGGATCTAGCATTTGGTGTGGGGGGTTTCACAACAAGGAGGCCTTGGGCCTCAGGTTGAGTATGTAGGCTTTGCGGCTGAGGTCTCAGGGCTCAGAGTCTTGTGGCGGCCGCCATGAAATTTTACGCCCTAAGCCCTAAACCCTAAGTCCTTAAACCCTACTACGTACATTGCTGTCCGAGGAGGTGCGAGCCCTCAGGAAGAAGCACGGCGGCTTCCCAAAGTTCGGGGTACCTATCTGGAGGTCACTATCATAAGGATTATAGCTTTTGGGGGTCTATGCGGTCCCTCTATTTATAGAAACTCACATAGCTGATCCTCGATTCCTCGCTCCAGTAATCAAGGCAGCCCTGCAGGCTTCGGGCAAATTTTTGATCTTTTGTTTTTAAGGTAGTTTCCATAAATACGGGACCCCACTATAGACCCCAAAGCACCATAGTCCTCAATAAATTAAGATAGGGACCCCGGACAAAGCACTCCTAATTTTGGGCATCCGGTTTGAGGTAGCAGAACTTCAAGGTTTGTGTTGGGTTCTCATGTTGAGGCTTTAGGGTTTGGTGGCGAGTGCCCTGAGATCCGGATCTAGGCATTGCGTTCAGAACTTTGTGCTTAGGACTTGGGCTTTCCCTCATGACGGAAAAGAAAGTGGAAGTCACTATTTAGGGTTCAGGGTTTTTTTATAGCGTTAATGGCAAAGAAAATCGAAACTACTATTTAGGGTTTAGAGTTTAAGGGGTCAAAGCTGGTGATAACTCATGAGTACAGGTGCGGCCTTCATTGTTCAACTCTTTGTCATGTTTACCACGATATACTCTTATCCCCACATCTCGCAGCACCACCTGAAACCTGCAACTACCAAGGGCTCTCAGCGATAGGTCCTATCTTTGTTTCATGTAGTAAGCCATAGAAGGGGGACAAAGAGGAAAGGGGAAACTGCAAAAAAGTAAGAAGTCATAATTCGGAAGCCCAATCTTTCCTATGCATCCATACTTACGGAAACCTAAGTTAAGTTCCTTAACTCTCAAACCAGCTGGGCTCTAAACCCTGAACCCCTCCAGTACACGCCACATCCCCCTGATGCTCTGCTGGGGCGCCCTGGAGCGATCCGTGCAGGCGGCAACCCGAGTCCCATCCTTCGTCTGCGGGGCTAGGGTTTAAGGTCTAGGGTTTAGATAGAATAGAGGGGGTCCCGATATAGACTCTGCATATATGAAAATCCATGTTATAGAAACCCAAAAAAGACCCCCTAAGTTTTGGAAAGCCACATCTGACTCTTGGATGTGCCATAGCATGATTTTGCTATTCCAGTATGGTAGTTATGCTGCATTTTTTGGTGGCTTTGGATTCAAGATGTCTTGGGAATCGTTTGGCTGCAACTTCAACAGGTTTGCCTTTGATAGGTTCTAAGGAACCAAGGTACACTTGGATTTTTCCTTGCTGTAGGAACCCGCAGAAGCATTGCACCCTCAATCGGTAGAGAACCCCATATTCTTAGTTCTTAGCCTACTATAATTTGTTTCTGTGTTACCTCGAACACCATTTAAATCCACATGCGCTTGCAATGAAATCACGGACCTACACTCCAGCCCCAAAAAACATTGCAATTAATATTACCATGAATATTTCTATTGCTACTACTACTACTACTGCTGCTGCTGCTACTACTACGACTACTACTACTACTACTACTACTCCCATGACCACTGGTATCACTACTGCCGTGATGACGGCGGCAACTACTCTGAGCCCCTTCGGTCCGGCGAGGCTGTGAGGGCCAAAACGGCGAAGGACACGACGCTGTCACCCAGGGCATTGAGGTTGGTCCTCTGGGCCTCCTTGCGGTGCAGACCATGCCCACTTACACTTTCCACATCTGGAGAAGAATTTGCGTGGGTCAAGCGTGGGTCAATATGCGCTAGGGAGAGAATGCTAGGTAACATGCCCCGTACTTTTGGATTCTTTAGCCTGTCGCTTGCATAGGGCGAGCCATGAGGTACAACTTCTGCCCAAGCTAAAGCCCATTCGGAAGCCCGCACCTTGACTTCAGCAGCTTCTCCCAAGCTCGGCATCTCCAGATAGTGCAACTCGTGGTCGTTCCTGGGCGCCACAGTATACCATAATCCTTATGATACTAGATGATATTGGAAACCTGCAAAACGTGACCACCAATTTTTGGACAGCCAGTCCTTGCTGCTAGCACGGCAGTGCGACCGTCGAGCCAGCAGCAGGCGGTGACCTCCAGCAGCCAGAAAGCTTGTTACCCACTCCCCGGATACTAACATAAATTGACGCCCCTCACCCCCCTAATATTAGATACTCCCGTTGAGGTATATTGTAATATATTGGGAATAGTTCATAGTAGGGGGTTTAATTTTAGGGGGTGGGGATTAGTCAGCTAGTCGGGACCGCTGTGGGTTTTGAATGTTTGCCAACAAGTCACAACAAACGTTGAGGATAACAATGCACAGAAAGAATGACAAAAAAGACTCCTCCGAGGTTCCTAGTTCCCTCGTCCCTTGTCCAGTATCCCCATTGTTAACCCCCATGGTAGTCCCCTACATAATCTCCTATATAACCCCTTCAAGGAGTTTAGACTATAGCTCATTGGGGTGGTGCAGGACTTCTTCCGTCCTTCCCTTCCAGGACCTCGCCGACGAAACTGCAGGAGCCCAAGTGTGAGAACTCCGAATTTCCAGTTCCTCATGAAGGGATGCGGGTAAGGATTCGCGATTTGTTAGAAAGCGCATGACCGGAGGGTTTCGATGGGTCGTCAAAAAAATCAGAGCTCGCTACACAGTGGCATCATAGCACAGCCAGCCCTACTTTGCATTTGAAACCTGACTCTGCACACAAAGAAGTGGATGTTCCACAACGACACCAGACCTCAACGGCTCGGGCAGAGACATGACAGCCACAATTCAGACATGACCTGGCTTGTTAGTACTGCATCTGATGCGGGAAGTCTGCAGGAAACTGGTCCCAGGAAGCGGCTCAGTCATAGTAGGCTTGCCATCAATTATCTGGAAAGACCCTATCCCGGGCTCTTCGGGGACCTGCAGCCTGCGTGCCAAGGTACGCCAGTAGAAGTGCGCTGTGTGGTCGCGCGAGATGGTCATGAAGTAGGTGCTCTGCCGGCCGCTAGCTGGAGCAAAGCAACAGCTTGTGACCTGCAAAAGGGAGGTGTGCCAGCCACTGCAAGAACTCACCATCCACCTTGGGAGTTAGATAATCTTGTACATGTTGGGCTTGCATCATTCAGTGTCACACAAACATCGTCCCTGTCCATGCCTTCTGTTTTTGCAATGGTGGTGACAGGCGAGGTAGTCATGGCCGCGGGCACTTTGCGCAAAATTTGTATATGCTCAGGCAAGCAGGGTAGCCAGGAACGCAGACCTGTCCTCGCAATTATGCGAGATGTCATCAAACTCCTGGCGTCTTGCCTAGGACGGCCCCACAATCGAAAAGAACGCTATACAGTGGGGGAGTGTTATTATATTGGGTATATATAGGGATAATGGAAAAGAAAATGGAAGCTACTATATTAAAATAGGGCATAACAGTATAATCCCCTTAAGTAGATAGAATATGGCTTTGGGTATATTATAGTAATATCCCCATAAACCCATATTTCATCTACTTAAGGGGGACTTTATAACAAGTTCTATGTACCTTTCCTGCCCGGCCTGCTTCTGATGGTCCTTGAACCTCTGCCGCAGTTCAAACACCCAGTGGCCTGAGGTTTCCGACGCCTTGGCTCAAGGAGACTTAAAATCTACATTCCCCCTTAAGTGGATAGAATATGGGGTATATGGGGATCTTATTATAATATACCCAAATCCATATTCTATCTACTTCAGGGGGACTTTAGGTAGGCATAACGCGGAACACCCAATGTCATCTACAAGAATCGTATAATTGTATGAGACAAAAAGCTATTGCCTGGTTAAAACTTGGGCTTTCCACACCTAGCTCAAAATTGGGCAAGGGTATCCTGCTGATGTGCCGTCTATAACAGGCATAGGCCCCTCTACCCAACTCTCAGGTGCGTGTTGTTGCCTGTCCACCGCTTGAGACAATGCTAAGGGTGAAACAGTTGGAGACACTTCCGGGACCAGAAACGGGCCCTGGCCAAAAGCAACCATAGCAAGACATCAATTTATCTGGTGTCAGACATGATAGTGGTACCACCGCAACTCAAGGATAGCCGTACTTTAGCCCCAAGTCCCTGAACCCACCGAAACTTGCAAAGCCCTCAAACCCTGAACCCCCAAAAAATACCTCAACCCCATCAAAGACGACACACCTCTTCCACCTTAGGTGGGCCCCCACTCTGTAATAGCGGATTATCCCTTGTGATTATCCCTTGTAGTCAGTATCACTGGGTGGGGGGCCCACCTAACTTCCCTAAACCCTAAACCCTAAATAGTAGTTTCCATATTCTTCTTCATTTTCCCTATGTAACCCTGTAGAGTCTCCCGATGTTCGGCCCAAGGGACCGGGTAGCCGCCACCAGCCACTCCTGGGGGGTGCAGGCCAAGAACCAGGGTTTCGCCGCCCATAGTAGTCCTTACATTTGGGTTTAGGGTTTCTAGGGTTTAGGGTTTGGTGGTCCTTAAGTTTGGGATTTAGAATTTAAAGTCCCCTAAAGCAGATAGACTATGGGATCTATGGGATCTTATTCTGATTTTGGTCCTCTGTTGAAGTGGGACTATAAGGTTTAGGGTGCCTTGTGGGCCCTCTTGCAAGGCACAAGGCTGTCCTTGAACAGTGCGAGACGTGAGCAAAGCTTGCTTTGGAAAATTTTCTGGACAGACCCGAAACTTTCGAGGTTTCCCAAAATTTGCGGTACTTTTTTTTGGGGGTGGGTGGGTCCTTACCAGATGGAGCCTTATGATTCCACACTCCGTTGCAGCCAAAACACACCAGAACCTCCTGCGCGCCTTCCTGCCAGGCAGGGAACAAAACCACCCTGGCACACTTAGGGTTTAGGGTTACATCCTCAAAAGCACCCGGCAGCCTCATAGCCTGGGCTTTGGAGTCTTTGGAGGATTGAGCAGCTTGAGTGTCTTCTTGTGGGATGGGTGGGGTTTTGGTAGGGTTCAGTGCATTCTAGAGGCTTGGCATCCTCTTTGCACGGCCATACTTAATCATGATTTTCTGCCCTCTGCCCTGCCGCCCTGCCCAGTATTTGTACATAAATTATGAATGCTGGCTGGTACTTGCTACAAAGTACGACATTATCCGAAATGCTCAATGTGACAAACCTGAACAAGATCCGTATTCCAAAGTTTAAGCTCCAAAGCTACATCTGAACATCTTGGAGGTGCTCTAAAAGCACGCATTCTGAATCTAATTCTGTTAGGGTACACGCAAAACGAAGCTCATTCTCTATCGACAACAACCGCAAAAACCTAAACCCTTTTGCAAGAGACTTTGCACTCACCTAAACCCTAACCCCGATCGAGAGCAGGCGTGCTCCTCCTCAGCGACCGCCACGTCCAGACTCAGCGGTGGCGAGGCCAGGTCCTCGAAGGTCGCCAGCACCTCATGGGGAAAAGAACGGATGTAACCCCAACCCCTATTACAAGGAGCCTGCAAAAGTAAGTCGCATAATAGCCAATATTAGTCAATAGGGTCCTTAAGCTTCGGGTTGAGGTACCCCCCAGATCCCCTCGTTTGCACCCTCCACAGTCAAGACTTCTTTCAGACTGTACCAAATTACCAAAGGGACCCCTATGACAATCCTTCATGGTCCCTTGGCAAGCCTTGCAAAGACAGCTGCTCATGTCAAGTCTTATTAGACAAAGACTGTATAGAGCCTCTGGTTAGGGTTTCATGTCGGCAGCGGTTCAGAAGTATAACGGCCACAGTCTACAAGCAACAACCGCAACAACAGTCATGGTGTTTGTGGATCGTCAACACCTTCAGAACTCTGCATGGCTCACTTCCCTAAACTAATAAGGACCAACGCCACCCCCAAAATGGGACCCCACAAGTTTAATACGACTCTCACGGAGTCCTCTTTTTGGGGAGGGTTGGGGGTAACCCAAGCCCTCCAATCATACACTCAAAGCAACCTCACAGCTTGCCATCTATGGATCACCAGGTTTAGAGTTTAAGGTCAAGGGTTTTGGGGTGTAAGTTGGTGGACCCCCCACCCAGTAGTTGTGACTATAAGGGGTATTGGTCATTATATTAGGGCCTCCATTGTACCACTATTACAGGTTGGGGGGTCTACTTTGGGTTTAAGGCCTATGGTTTAAGGCTTAAGGTACTCCTCTCGCTTGAGAACAGGCCCTCGCCCTAGAAACCAACATGCCCGATAGAACACCCGAAAAGCCCCTAAACACCTCAAAACAAAAAAAGATGTCGGGCCTTCGCACCATCCAGGAGGCCTTGGGAACATGCATGGAAATTGGTTTTCGCTCGCTCTTTAGGAGATCATGTGGCCTTCGGAAGGTTTCTGGCATTTTTCCGTGTCCGCAAAGTGGGGGCAATTATTGGGAGCCATGAAAGGTGGAACATCCTTGCGCGGTGGTTGATGTGGGGTCTACATGGGGTAGTACAGGGTTATATATGGGGTACTGTACGGTATATGGGTGCATTTGGGATAACATAGGGTCACACAGAGGGAATGGAAAAGAAAATGCAAGCTACTGCTGCCTTAGCAGCTCTATTGCAGCTGAGCTTCACAGTTTTCGGTCTGCTGTGGCTACGATGCTCAGGGCCTGCGGCATCACCCTAGGGTTTAGGGCTTCAGGCTTTTTAGCGTTTAGGGTTCAGGGTTTAGGTTTAGGGCTTTTGAAGGTTTAGAGTTTAGGGTTTGCGGCGTAGGGTCTTAAACATCCAAGGCTGAGCTTCGGCATCGACAGCCTTTGAAAGAGGGTCTGTACCACAGGAGCCTGAATGATTTGACCCACCTTCCTTCGGTAGTTCAAACAATGCATAAATCATTTCGGATGACGTATTCTACATTTCAACGTGAAGCGTACCGAATTTTCATGGGAATCGGATTCGTGCTGGTACAGTCGTGTACATGATCCTAAACCTTGAGGCTGCGAGACCTTCAGCGCTGAGAGCGCTGGACTTCTTGACTTTGCCCCAGACCTCCCAAACTACTGAACTAGGTAAGCACTTTACTTCACAATAGCCGCAGACTACTTTTCTGAATTGGAGTCGGTGTTTCACCCAAGGACCTGGCGGTGGCATGCGGGCTGGTCTAACAACTACTCCATCCACTCACCGCCAACACCTGATAAAACCTTACCCGGCACCTCTTCGAAGGACCTTGCTGCCCAGCAAACCGCTGTCACGTTAGCAGCGAAAGGGCTGGGACCTGAAAAACAAGGAAAAGCTGAAGGCTACCCCTGGGCTTCCTAAATGTTGGAATCCCGCGCTGGGATCCCAATAACAGCATTATAGTGAATGGGGTTTGTACTGGTCCCCTAAAGATGGCAACTATGACATCATCACGCGCTGTGTACTGATAGCGAGGAAGGGGATCATCGTGATGAACAGTCAAGCACTGTTGTAGAAGTTGCAATGCATTCTGAAACTGGGTTGCTGTTAAGGAACTTAGTTTGAACTACTACATTGGGGAAACCATCTTCATTACTATATATGTATACAGATATATACACCCACTATGGTAACTTACTTTAAGTTCCTTTAACAGCAATCCAGGAAATGGTTATTAGAGACGGCCTGTGCGCAGCTGTTCCTACTAGGGAGTCAGGGATTCATACGCGTGGATCCCGCGTACTGTAACATAATTATGGGCCCTTTGCAGGCCCACGTGGGTGCTAGCGCACGAACAGAATTGAGCTGCGTTCCATGGAAAGGGTAACCCTTCGGGTTCCTCTTGTTCCCATTATATTTCCAATAGGTGCCATCCTACTACCTACTACTTTCACAGGGTGTTGCTCCCACAATTAATATCCTCTCTCTCTCTCATGTGCAACAATCAATAGCCTAAACCTTAACAAAAATGCCTCACCACTAGATTCTGGAAGGAAATATAGCAACATACCCGAGCTCGGGTAAAACCCTAATCGAAGCTCTGGCTTCCACTGTGTAGACGTGAGACGCAGCCTGCCTTGTAGCCAAAAGAAATACGAAACATGAAAAAGGCCCCATTTAGAATACCGTCCTTCCCAATCTTAGAACGAAATCAAATTCTTTTGCCAGGCTTTTGAATGAAGTTCCGCGCTGGCTCCGCGCGAAAAACTTACCAACGCCTTTCAAAACGAAGGTTCCTCAAAATGTGTCGTACAACAATCTTTAGTAGGCACGCTCTGCGTAATCCATACATGTCTTCAGGGTCAGAAAAGGCCCGCTTTTTTGAGACGCTCGCGCATCCTTAAACCCTGTCTCCTTGCTCCCAGACCCTAAATCCTAACCCTAAACCCTAAATCCTAAACCGTGAACCCCTAATCCTAAACCCTGAATCACAAATCCTAAACCCTAAAGCCAAAATCCTAAACCATAAACCCCAAACCCTAAATCCTGAAACCTCAACCCCAAGCCCTCAACCCAGGAGTCTCTGACTTTGCACCAAGCCTAGTTCTGTGGACGCTTGTGTGACGCATGCGCCACCGCGCAGGGCCTCCAGGGCTTCAGTCGCCGCCTTGCACCAGAAAGCTGGGTTGCTTAAGGTTTAGGGTTTAGGGTTAGGATTCAGGGTTTAGGGTTAGGATGTAGGGTCTAGGGCTTAGGGTTTAGGGTTTAGGGTTGTGGGTTTAGGATTCATGCTGCTAAGGAACCGGGATTCTTTAGGGATTACAGAGGGGATAGGATTATATAGGGCTAATGGAAAAGGAAATGGAAACTATCATAGTTTACGTGGTTTAGGGTTGTTACCTCCAATGTGGAAATCAAATGGACAAAAAATGGAAAATTAAATGTAAACCAGAATTACATGATATGGTGCTTTGTAGAGAACAGATATACATGAAGTACTGCCCCCCCCACTCGGTAACAGTCCATAATAGGGGTAAAAATTAAGGTAGCAATATAAATATTCTCCAACTGTTACTGGATCCCTGTAAAAGAGTTAGTGATTAAACACTCATATTGGAGAGGCTTGGGGTTCAGTTGCCATAGTGGGTGGGCAAACAAATGGAGAAGACAATGGAGCATGAAATGGAAACTGAGTCTGTGCAGGAATCTCATAGGATGTTTAAGGACCTTAAATTAGAAGTTGGATACAGGGTACATAAAACAAGGTCTGATGATAACTGACCTTAAGTTCTTTACAGCACCCCAGGGACACGCCTGGGGATTCTACTGGGTATGGGAAAACTTCTAGGCATGTTACAAATTGGGTAAGTAATCCCCTCCCCCTAATATAAACCCCCCCACCCCCCTAATAATGAATATTCCCAATATACTAGAGTATACAATACTTGGGGAGTATTTATTATTAGGGGGTGGGAGGGTTTCTTATTAGGGGGAAGGGATTACTTCCTTCGGCTAAACTGAACAAACCATGCGTCCCAAAAATAAGCTCAAGGGATGCAGGCGTGTGGCGTATTTGAGCCTGGGCGCCAACTCAGTAAATGCTAGTTGCCCTAAATAGGGGGACCCCAATTTAGACCCCCAAATATTATAGTCCTTAATACTGGGACCCCCAAAATGGTACCCCTAGTTTTGGGAAACTCAGTAAGTGGAACTAGTCAGAGTCGGCTCTCCCACAGCAGAGCAGCAGACCCCAAGTTTCAGCCCTGCCACAACCAATCCTAAACCCTGAACCCTAAGCCGAATCAAAACACTGAAGCAAGGCTCAGGCTGAGTTTGGAATCTGTTAAAGGAGATCACACACTTCTAGGGTCAGGATGTTGAGGCTTCCATAGAAAGGAAAGGATTGTAGATGATTGTAGTATCTAGGGGCGGGGGCCTATCTTTGGAAACTGAGGCTAAAGACTTGCTCCCTAGAACGAAATCGCAAATCTCACACCTCGAAGCCTTCCTCTGCGGGGCCCTCAAACCATAAACCCTACGTAAACAGTAGCTCCGATTTTGCCACTATCCCAATACATCCCAATTATCTCCTATGCCCTCCAAATAGAAATATATCCCCTATAACCCCCCATATAGTACCCTAAACCCATTATAGTAGTTTCCATTTTCTTTTCCATTATCCCAATATATCCTCACTATCCCCCCATGCACCTTCAGTTCGGGGTCTTCTTCCGTCTCTGCAGGAGCGCCGGACGCCGTAGCAAACCTTCGATGCTCCCGGCAGTTGACCCCATCCCTCTAACATGATTGGGTGCCTTCATCACAGGGTTCTTTTAAGTCCCTTTTACCCTCCATTTACAGTCAGGCAAAGCTCCCTTGGAACGGGCATACCCAAGCCAAAGCGCGGCCTAGGCCTCGACACATCACAGGTTGTAGGGTTTTAGGGTTTAAGGGTTTAGGGGTTTAGGGTCTAAGGGTTTAAGGGTTTAGACACGCGCATCGCACAAGGCAGGCGCGGCAAGAACTGTCCGGTCCGGTTTAAGGGTTTAGGGTTTACGGTTTGAGGGTTTAACGTTTAAGGGCTTAGGGTTTGGCAGAGAATGTTGATAGTAATGACAAGGGGATCTTGGTAACCCCAACCCCCAAAACTAGGACCCTGCAACCATCATGCGGTAGTCGTGCTACCAAAATCCTTTCTTAGCAGTCCCTACCCTCATGGGATATGGGCTCATTATCACGATGGTCGTCCTAAACCCTAAACCCTAATTCCAGACCTCCCCAAGCTCAAAGGCTCGAGATACCGACAGAACTACAAGAACTGCCAGTGCCTTGCACATTCGATGGTTCATTCTCAACCTAAACTCTAGCTCTTGCAGATATATTCCCCCTTAAGTAGATAGAATATGGGGTATATGGGGATCTTATTTTTAACATGCCCACCGCCATATTCTACCCCTAAACCCTAAGCCCTAAACCCTAGCCTAATATACGCAAAGCAATGTTCTATCCACTTAAGGGAGCTTATATCCCCAGTGGATCCCTGCTGCTGCGCAGCATGTCCAGGCTCGACTGCAGAATGCTGGCCACTGGCAGGTCCCCATCCTCAAGTGCTCTGCTATGGAATGCCTTTAAAAGGGCTGCATGAGGGGGTATGTAGATGCCTGCATAAGTGGGTATATAGAAATGTGGGTGGGGACATGGGGATTTCTGGGTTTGAGATTAGGGTTCGGGCTTCTTGGGGCAACAGTTTGGGCTTGACTGCTCACACTGTTCTGAGCTTTAGATTTCAAAGTAATCGCGTCAGTCCCTCCATCAAACACTCCGTTGCTTCCCAAGGCAGTCGGACCCTGAACAACGGGACACCCCTTGCAGTCTTGGCACATGAGAACCAGAAGGTCACAAGTCATAATCAAAAACCTGACTCTCAAAATGCCGAGAAGCATTGGCTAAATCCTGCTCGCCATCATCACCACCACCACCACCACCATCACCACCGCCACTGTTTCAATGAGTAGTCATGACAACAGTAGTTTTTGGTGCCACTAGTTAAGCAAGAAGTAGTAATCACAAGAACGGGTTGCTGTCAAGGAGCTTAAAGTAAGTAACCATAACAGGGGTATATAGTAAATAATAGGGATTCCTCTATAGTAATTCAAAAAAGTTCCTCAGCAGCAACCTAGAAGAAGGCTCTTAGCAGAGGTTCGGTGTACTTGACCCCTGTCTCGCCCTCCATGGCCAACAGCGTCTCAAACAGCTCCTTCTCCTGAAGGAACTGGAGGACCACCTGAGATCCCAGGGATCAGAATTGGGGATTTCAAGCCAAGGCTTCAGCTCCGAGAGACCCAGGGGGACCCAGGCCCAATGACTCTTTTTTCCCACCTGCTTCATGTCAGCATGGCAGCGAGATTAACCGGAGTGGTGGAGTAAGACCGGCCTGGTTTGTTGGACTGCTTTCCTGGGATCCTTGACCTTCGAATTCCGCTCCAGCAGCAGAATCATCTCACAATGAAGTGTGTGGGGGAACATGTCCACCGCAACTGCCCGCAGCGGCACAAAGGGATCCGCATCGCTTTCTGAAGGCATCGTCAGCTTCACAACATCCTCCACCAGCGAGTCAGGGTTGCAGCTCACGTAGACGATTCGTGACAGCTGGGAACAGGCCCTCAGTGCCCTCAGCACGGAAGTGTGCAGCCCTGGACGGGGAGGATCCACAATGGCACACACCTCAAGGCTGGGATCCAGCCCTTGGAGCACCTCAGGCAAAACATCCTCGGCCTTGCCCACCACCCATTCTGTGTTGTCCACCTTGTTCAGAGCGGCGTTGGCCTTTGCCGATTCCACTGCCTCCGGGATCAGCTCGATGCCGATGACCTTACGGCAGCAGCGGCTGGCACAGAGTCCGATGGTGCCAACTCCGCAGCAGACATCCAAAACTGCCACATCTTTCTCTGGCCGCAACCACTCCAGTGCGCGCTGGTAAAGCAAAGCACAAGTGGAGCTATTGGCCTGGTAGAAGGAAAGTGGGCCGATGTGGAAACTAAGCCCCAGTAGCTCCATCCTGAGCTGAGCGCTACCATGGATAAGCTTCAATGGCGCTCCTGGCCTTGCGGCATCTGAGACCTCGTTGTTGAATTGCCTGGGTTGCTGTTAGGGAACTTGAATTAAGTTACCATAATGGGTATATATTGTGACTAATATGGTTTCCCCAAAATATAGCAACTTAAACTAGATTTCCTAAGCGCAACCCAGTTGCAGGTAGATGGACACTACCTTGACCTCAGCCTGCGTCAATGCAGTTATGAGATCTGCAGAAAGACGCTGGGCTTGGTCTTCGTCTAGAGTCGCGGTCTGCACCATGACCAGGAGTTCATCTGCCGTAGACTGACGAACCATGACCATGCGCCAGTAACCCTTCTGCCAGCCCTTGCCCCGCTCGAAGATCTCAAATTTGGAGCCCCTCACGCAGTCACGCATGGCCTTGCACAGCTTTTTCATCGCCATGGAAACCAGAGGCACATCGTCACAGCTGGCCACGATGCGCCCGTAGCCATCATCTGTGATTCGGCGAACGAAGCCACACTCAATCTCACCAGCATCCGTCTTGCCAATGCTGAACTCGCACTTGTTCCTGTAGCCTGGGCTGCAGTCCAAGAGCTTAAAGCAACTTACCATGAGATGAATATCTAATACGTAAGACATGAGGCCTACCGACTACAGCGGTACCTTGATCTTGAATTTTCTCAACAGCGAGCCAGTAGCCCTCCAGGTGGTCTTCTGGGGTCCCAATGGTTGCATCCAGTGGACAGGCACAACCAAGCCTGGGTTGCTGTTAAGGAACTTCAGACTTAAGTTATCAAGGAATTTGGACTATAGCACATATCCACCCACTATGGTAACTTAAACCCTAAACCGTAAACCCTGAACCCTAATTCAAGTTCCTTAACAGCAACCCAGAAGCGGCGCCTCGCAGGCCTTGGACCATTCAAAGCTGGTCCAGGCTGGGGCCGTGAGGCTCAGATCTTTACACTTCTTGTCCACCTGAGGGGTTCCCAACATTAGTGGTACCATTTGAGGGTTTATTGGGGGTTTAGGGGATATATATAGGGACTATATAGGGATATATAGAGTTTAGGGTTTCGGGATTAGGGGTACCGTTTTGAAGGGTCCCCTTAATAGGGAATAGTATTTTGGAGCCTATATAGGGTCCCCTGTTTTGGGAAACTGCCACCTGTTTTGTAAAGGATCGAACTGCTGTCTTTATGTGGGTGCCCTTCATACTTAGCTGCGTTTCGTAGCTCCAGTCAATGAGAGGGGCACTCTTGTGAAGAATGTCGCCGGGATCTTTGTTTTTCAGTTTGCCCTGCAGATCTTTGAGCGTCGGGATATGCCCTGGTGGAAAGTCTTTGACCTTCTGCCGCTTCGCACTCGGCTGCTCGTCGCTTTTTGGCTTGCTTTTCCTTGGTGTGCCCTCACTTACCGACACACTGCATTTGTGCATGAGCAGCCCTTCGACGTTTTCACGAAACTTCTCCTTGTGTTCTGGGAGCACTGTGACAAAAGCATAGCTCCAGGTCTTCAGCTTGAAAACTTTCTGAAGCGGCACGCCGCAGTGTTCCGCTAGCCACTGCTCCACCTTCACACAGGCCATCTTGTTGAAGTCCCGGCATTGCACATGCAAGCTGGGTGCTTCTTGTTCCTCCTCCCCCGTCGCTTGAGGTTCGACCTCCTCACTTGCTGGACCATCCGGATTGCTGGGTTCAGATGCTTCGGTGGTCTCTGCCATAGCCAATAGCTGCAGATGGTGGGACCAGAAATAGCCACGTAGGATGGCAGAAACCAGGCCAGCAGCTCACATGGGTTGGGGGCGACGCTATGCGGTGGCTAGCAAGACAGTTCAAGGAATTTCAAAACTGTCCGAAAAGTTACGCTGGGTCCAATGATGGCAAACTGACTGAAGCAGTGGCATGTGGTGATCATCTACACCTCAGAGCCCATCGATAAAGCAATTCATGGCAAGCATGAATCGAGCAACTCGTGGGCATGTTGAACAAACGCCATGTTCTGGACTCCGATTCTCACCTGACGCTTAGATGTAGGTTTGGGGGAAGGGTTGAAACTTGTTGTTCAGGCTGTTCCACAAAGTTGAAACTAGTTCTGAGAAGCCTGGTGCCTGAGTACACTCGAACGTATATCGCTAGCGCCCAAAGCCGAGAGAGAGACCCGCGGCCAACAGCGGACATCAGCAACACAATCTAATGAACACTCAGACTTCAGGTTCTGCCAACCGCAAACTTCCAAAAACGCAGCATCAGCTGTTCATGGGAGTCGCGGGCAAGACATTGCCACTACATCCCTGACCTACCTCAGACCCTATATTAAATCACATCATGAGCCACCTTGTACTGATGCCTCACGCGGTCATCCAACTCCTCTGAGTCAGCCTGGGAGTCATGTTGACCCACTTGGCCGATCATGGCAAAGGCAAGAAGCACCCGGCTGGGCGCGGAGATTTTGCAAGCAGTGTATGGTAGGAGCCGAAATACTTATCAATGCAGGTAAAGCTTGTTTGGTACCAGAATTATTCGGTAACAATTTAAACGTTTAGATGAAGCCTCTGCCTTGAACAACGAACTCGCTGCAATTACACTGGATGTGTTGGATGGGGAATGATGGTACCTGACCAGCTAAATAAGTCTCAGGCGTCCCTCAGAGTTGAGTTGTTGCTGGCTGCCCTGAGCTCATGCCAGGTATGTTTGCCGGTCCTACAGCCCTTTGTCTCTTGAGTGCTCATACACTGTGCAAATAGAAACGCTATCGGGGTTAGCGTGCATGGATCGGTGCAAGGGCCTTGAAGAGTGAATGCAAGCCCACGGGACACCACGTGAGCCTCTGCCACGCTCGAGCAAGAACAGCATGCGGACACAAAAGCTTCAAGCGGACTCAAGCCCAAAGACCCTGAGGCCTCACCCAAAATCACACTGAAAAGGCAAAACCTCTGGACCTATCCACTCGCAACCAACCTAAAACAACAAATTGCCAAAACAGCACCAAACATGAAAGAGAACGGCATCACTTCATTGGAAGCCGGACCCTTGAGGGACGTATCCAAACCTGTAGAGGAAGAGCATTTTGGTTGGCCAGGGCGTCGTGGTGAGCAGGTGGCTATGACGGGGAGGCACTGAGTTGCTATTTTTGAACTCTGAAAGCGTACAAAACCAACAACTCCAAGACGAAACAAAATCCAAAACCAACTAGGGCTTCTCAAAATGGGGCTCAAAATGCAGGTTCCCCTTGAGCAGAAGAGGGATCGACCTCCGTAAGGGTGAGGGTCCCGAACCCCCCACCCCTAACAAGCAACATTCGTGATGCAGCTATGCTAGCCTAACCCCCTCTCCTTGAACCTGCACCGACACTAATAACATGCAGGTACCCCCCAACAGTAACCAACAATCCGGACCCTATAGCTATCATATGAGCTATAGTCTACACCCCTTAAGGGGGGTTATATAAGCGATTGTATAGGGGACTACCATAGGGGTTCTTACGGGGGATACTAGGAGTTTAGACTATAGCTCATATGACTCTACTAGGGTCGTAGTTTGGGGGTTGGGTTCCCCAAGTCCTCCATTAAAAAACCCTATACAATCCCAGTTTCCATTTCATGTTCCATTTTCTTTTCCATTTGATTCTCCATTATCATTGGGGTAATATGGGAAAAAAAGGAATATATCATATAGGTTAGGAGGACCCCCCACCCTGTAATAGTGGTATAATAAGAATATAAGAGGACGCGAATGTAATCCTTACTCTTCCGTATAGTCACTATTACAGGGTGGGGGGTCCACCTAACATATAGGTATTATCTACCCTAAACCCTAAACCCCAAACCCTAAACCCTAAATCCTAAATCCTAAACCCTAAACCCTAAACCCTCAGAACAGGAAAGTTGAGCCTCGGCGAGTCGGAGCGCCTGTTCTTCGTCAGCTGCCAGACGTGGGGAATTTCTCCGAAGATGGTAGTTTCCCTAAATAGGGGGTCCTAATATGGGGGTTTCCCAAAATTAGGGTACCATTTTAGGGGTCCCCATCATAAGGATTAGTATTTTGGGGTCTATATTGGGGTCCCCTTATTTTGGGAAACTACCATATAGACCCCAAAATACAATAATCCTTACTATGGGGACCCGAATAAGGTACTCCTAATTTCAGGAAACCCAAAAAATGGGATGAAGGGGGAGTTATGACTTGAGATGACGTTTGCATGCATGAATGCATTGACCCTGTCAAACATATGTGTACAAGATTGCGGAATTCAGGGTCTAGGTGAGGTTGTGGGATCAACCATCCTAAGAGACTTGCTTCCCACCGCAACCTACAGTAGGCAGCCCTTCAGTGCCATTGCCCCCCTTAAGTAAGGGGTATATGGGGATCTTGCAAAATTATACCCAAATCCATATTCTATCTACTTAAGGGGGACTATCAGCCCCCAAGCTGAGACATCCTAATGAAGGCCTCGTGCCTCCTCATAGGCGGCATCGAAGGCCGCTCGCTGCTCGTGGAAATTGGTCACATCGGACACTGGCCCTTGCTGCTAGCAAGCTGAGATCCCACCCCTATGTGGGAGTTTCCCAAGTTAGGGGTATCATTTTGGGGGTCCTAATAATGAGGACTTTCATATTTTGGGGTCTATATTGGGGTCCCCCTATTTTGGGAAACTACCATGTCTCTCTTAAGTCAAGAAGCTTCCCCAAGAAAGGTGACTTGATAAAACATTGGGACCCCTGATTTCCGGACACTTGGAAACCCTGACCATCCGGACTCTAATCACTAATCCCTAAACGTATACCCCACCCTTACATAACCCGTATCTCCAGCTCTCAATATATGATCGTTTCCATGAATAAGGGAACAATACAGACCCCCAAACGCTGAAAGCCCCTTTTATCATTGGGACCCCTAACTCTCGGAAATACACATCTATGTCCCTGAGGCCCTATGTTTTCTTGGGAGCCCCTTGCCTTGGCGAAAGGCCACTGCGAAGTGGAGCTTCGCCAGCGGTGCAGCCACCTCTGGGCGCACCTGCCCAAAGGAAGGGCAACACGTATGTGGGTGGTTATCAGAATTATGGTCCCTTTTTGGGTACCCTAAATATTCGGTGCCGTATTATGATAGGGACCCAAAAAGGGACCATAATTTTGACATGTGCGGTTTAGGGCCAGGGCTTGGGAATCTAGCTCTAGAACAAGATGCGGCATTTCTGAGGCTCAGGGTTTAGGGTACGTAGTTTTCTAGGTGTCGGCTGAGAAACCACCACATACATGGGACCCAAAACACGCTCATCAACAGCCAGTTGAAACAAATCTAAGAGCTCCCCCACAAACCATTAGAACAAGCCTGTCAAAGAAGGAGAGCTTTTGTGACTGTGAAGAGGTTCCGGCGTAATGTAAGACAGAAAGCTCACACAGAGGCTGGTGACTTGAGGGCTTCTGCAAGGTTCCCACCTTGATATTGGCCCCCTTCGGCAGTGTTGTTTTTGAGGGCGTCCTTTGTCATAGCCGGGATCCCAATCATCTGTACTCTGTACTTGTTCAGCAAAGCCCTCCAGTCTTCTTGCTGGATTCCTAAACCCGAAACCCCAAACTCACAACCCTTAACCCGAAAGCTCAACCGTGTGCATGGCTGGCAGTTGACTTGTTGAAGGCTAAGGGTTTGGTTTGCCAGCTCGCACGTAATTCGAGGTTGCATTCAGAGGGCCCTAGATGAACGGTAATGGGATCATGTTAGGGTACATGGGGTATATAGGGGTATGTGAGGGGATGTGGAGGTATAATATGTGGATACTGGCAGCTCACAGTGCCCTTCTCTTGTACTGATTACCAATAACCGGTTGGGGCTGTGAATCTTTGATCGCGTCTGCGAGCAGCAGTGGTTAAAGCCATACACTAATGTACAGCAAGCAGCGCATCTAATCCCACAGTTTCATGAGGAGTTTTGCAGACCTAACCTCCCAATCTAGGAAACCTTGCACCATCGCATGGCTCCCATGGGGTCCTTCCTACAGTGCTTGGGATTACCGACGTCCCCTTGATGAATCTTTGTAGAAGCCCTACATCACTAAAGTTTACATATCATTTTCAATTTTCTTGTCCATTTGAATTCCCATTTATGATAGTTGAGGTTGCCAACGCCCTGTTGTTACCAATATAAACCCTGAACTTTAAATCCTAGACCTTTTATGGGCCCCTTTAGAGAGATTAGCAGTTGACACGTGAGGCCTGGCATAAAAACGGATTCTCACAGGCGAAGTAGTCCAGACACACCTGAGCAGGTTTTTGCGGGGACATGTAGGAGCACATAAAGAAAAACGGCCCTACGCGAGATGTGAGTGACAGCTGCGGTGCTGTTTCAGTCAGGTGTCCAGCTATTGTACTGTTTATACTAAAGATCCTGCATGACCTCACTATACTGTAGTACTGTAGTCCACACGGTATAAAGTACTCAGGGTCATGCAGGATTTTAGTATCCACCGTATTCGTGGCTTAGTGCTCTAAGTCTCAAACTGCCTCACCTAAACAAACCCAGGCCTCGAGTCACATGCTCAAGCCAACTTGTTAGATGCATTCATCCACTGCAGCAGTGGCAGGTTCCA